ACTGAATATGACGTCAGCATCAAACATACAAAGTTGAGACTAGACGAGGATCTTTGATTATGTGCCCCGATATGCTAAAGCCCACATTTAAACGAACTAGCGCAAATTTTAGCAGATAGAATTTCAATCAGAATAGGACACCATAGTCTGAAAAAATAATACCTATTTTAAAAAAAAACAACCTCTAAACCAAATTACACACTTTTTAATGGCCTTAAATTTGGCAATTTTGATTAATCACTTTTTAATACTTTTTAAAACCCTGCGGACACCCTGTGCTTGTTGAGCCACAGCAGCCCCACCATGTGGCTATTTGTGTTGAAACATACAATTAATTAGTTTGTTCAATTGGCAACAAATTTTGTGACAAAATAGATTAAGTATTTTTAAAATGCAATGGCCCCAGTCTCTCAAATGTGAGGATTTGCTTTTATGTCATTGTAAATTAAATATAATATTTAATATTCTTCATGTTAATCACCTCTGGTTCGTATAGTTTACAATTTACAGTGAATGAGGCTAATGCCATGCCAATTTTTTGATGCATGGATGGTATTAAAATATCAGCCCACCGGCCTTAATTTTTATTATAATTAAATATGATCTAATTTTGAAAAGCTGTCTGCCGGCGTTCCAGTACATTCGGTGTCTGAGCCACACCCCTCTCTCTGGCGCCGCACACACACACACACAGACACAAACAAATGTCGTTTTCACATTTATTAAATTCCTGTCAAAAATCCTCCATTTTCAAAAGAAGAAACAAAAAATCTTATCTGATACACAAACAGACCCCTTCAGTACCACCGCCTATTACAGAATTCCAAAAAAGCCGCTCCGTTTTAGGGCCCCTCTTTTTTTTTTTTTTTTAAAGGGCATCGAGATCCAACGGTAGGGATGTCTCTGCCTGCCACCGCCCAACCTAAAGGATGCTATTGTATGCTGCCTTCGGTAGTCTTACACAACGCTTGTCAGCCTATTGTGTTGACCTACTTAGTATTTCCAGTAGACAGCATAGCTTCTTAACAGCAGATATGTCGGCAGCAGCACGAATAAACTTGTACTCAGTCACACAAACCGACTGTTCACAGGCTAGCTCAAACACCAAGGGATTGTATGCGTGTTTCATACCTTTGCTCCAATCTGATTCCCGCACTGACCGGCCTGCAGGTGCACTATCTCACGCATGTTGTCGCTGCTTTGTGTGGAGTCTGACGGAAAGCTGCTGCTAAAGAGAAAAAGGGAGAAGCTGACGACAGGCTACAGCTCTGCTATCTGCCCGATCCTGAACTTCCCAACTCAGTCGACTGTCTGGCTGAATGGCGGAGGAATTCTGGCTACGTTATAAGCCGTCTCGCCCTTCCCTCAGAACGCGGCTGCGCCGTTTTTCCCGCTGCTGCAGCATGACGTCATCTCCATGGCAACGGGAACCGGGCTCGGCCAGAAAATAGGCCTGCTTGGGCCAGTTTGTTGGGAGAACGCCCGACCATAGACCCCAGCTGTTGTGGGGTTGACAAGATGTGAGACAACATTCAGGACTAAAGCAGCTGTAGGCCTGACTGTATAGGCTAACGGTCTGCTGACATGAGCATGTGAATGAACAGGGATGTATCCTGGACTGTAAATGCATGAATGCATTTACAGCAACAGGGGGAAACTGAAATTAAATGTGGGATAGCTTTTAAGCACAGTGTAGCAATCTTACATGTTAGCTACACTATGTTGTAGCCGCTGAGCTGTAATGTGGGAGCTTTTATTAGTCATTTCTTGGGTAGGCTAATTAAAAATGTTGGCATGAGATCGATTCAGTTGTGACATGCAGGGACTTGCATTAATGTGAATTAACTATAGTTATAGCATGGCTTTTTGGATACCATTTCCTGTATTTCTTGACTGTAGCTATTCATTTTAGTTATCTGATTTGTACCTGCTCATGCTGTTTCTTATACTGCTGTTACATGAATTTGTCTTTTGTTATGATTAGATAAGCTTGTTTACAAACTAAGAGTATCCAGATTCCGTCTGATTTTGTATCATATTTAGGATAGGATGTCTGCATGGAACACAGACTCAGGCCAATAATTGCTGTCAGGCCCCCTACATGTCCATCGTCAGTATTCTGTGAACAAACACAGACCTATGAATTGATATCTGTTCTGTTCAGTTCAGTTTTATTTGTATAGGGTCAATTCACAACAACTATTGTCCCAGAGCACTTCACATAATAAGGCCTAGACATATGAGTGTATCTAAAGGCAAATGTGTTTATGCCTGGTTTGCCACCTCCCAGGCTGCTAAGACTGCCAAATTCCCAGATACACGGAGGGCTTATTTTGTAAGTAGGCTACAGCCCAGCTTGTTATTTTGCTTCTGCTGTTGTCCATACAGGAAATTTGAAAGGAGAGCCCAAAAGGCAGTGGGGAAGGAAGCAACAGTTAGGAGTCTACAAATGAGATGGCAAGCCCCAACCTTTTGTTATAGCAGTCAGAGTGTTCCAAAGAAAACATCAAAGGTGAATAAGGAGATCTATATCTGAATCCACCACACACAACCTGGCTACACAAGATTGCAGATCATGCTACTCACTCATAAACAAGGGCATGTTATGGTCTGGTTTGTTGCTGTCTTAGGTGTATATTTAGTTTGAAAACATAAACAAAGTCTGTCATAATTATTAAAGGCGCATCGAGTGTTGTTTTTTTTTGGTTGCTTGGGGGTATCATATCAAGCTAAACACAATAGGCCTTTTTTCACAATGACATCAGCTAATATTCTCATTGTGGAGCTATGGAAGATCCTTATTTCTGATTTAGTGCAGCACTGGGATGAAGGGATTTAAGGGCAAAGCTGCAGTCCAACATCTCTGTGAAGTTTTATACAAAAGAAGTGTCAACACTCAACAGAATAATATTTATACAGTTTTAAATCACACCTTGTCCACCATAATACTAGTTTAGCTTAATGTTATTTGAATTTACTGCAGTGTGCAGTAAGTATATGTTGAATCACTACCAACCATGGATCACCAACTTGACCAAACAGGTTTAGGCGTTTGGACCACTAAAGGAGCCTGATTCCAGACCACTGGACCACCCACCATCCCAGTGTTCCAAGGGCTATCCACACACAGTGATTATCAGGTTACCACTTACTGTAAGTATTGAAATGATAAGTGTCTTAAGGTGAATATAGAATCTTGAGGCCCTCATTGCACATTCCTAAAAATCCCTGTTTGTCATTTATTCATGCTGATTCAAAGTGTGTTTATTGTCATATGCACAGTATGTAAACGTGTTTCCCTGCACAATGAAATTCTTACTTTGCCGTCCACCCTAAATGCCAAGCAACACAAGTGAAATATAAGGTGGATAAACAGTAGCACAAAATCTAAACAGTCTTGTTTTGCCTTCCACACTGGGTGCCAAACAACACAAGTGAAATATAAAGTAGATAAACAGAGTCTAAAGGCACTTTAATCAATGAGTAAAAAAAAATATAATAACAAGTACATAAAATATCATTAAAACACTTGCATTGGAGCTGTATATGCAATAGTCAGCAGTAATGAGAACACAGTAAAAAATAATGCATGCTACATCAAGGCTGTATGTGCAATAGTCAGCAGTGGGTGTGCAACTATGCATGCGCAGCTATGCATGTGCAACTGAGCATGTAAACAGTACAGATGCAGTTACTTGAAGTAATCCCTGATTGATGCACAGTAGCCAGGGCAGAATCTGGCATATAAGAGCTTTTTATAGTGTCATATGAGCAATATGATGAAGTTTCAATGCATAGTTTGTTATGCGCACTGTATGGTGGTACCTGAAAGTGTCAAGAAACAAATCTGTGTGCATTTGTTAGTGATGGTCAGAAGGGTACTATTATACAGCTATGAGAACTGTAGTTACACATGACATCCACAGAGGGGCAATAGACATCTTCTACTGTTCAGCTGATTACACACTGGCTTCCTGTCCCTGGATTCTTTACTGGCCCTTGCTCCTGTAGCTGAGTTACATCTACAATATGTGTTACACTGTGTAGGTTAGTTACAACTAGCAATAATTGCATATTTCATTAAAGTTGATGAGATACCACTGAACATAGACCAAGTGAGGTTCTTTTTCAGGCTCTTACTGTATTTCGGTGCTGTTTCCATAATATGCCACCAGAGAATTCTCTCAGCATGCCCCAAGTTATTTCTTATTCTGAGAAATAATTAGCATTATTTCTGATTAAAAAAAACAACAACCTCTACTTACTTAAAAAAGATGCTGAAAACTGTAGCCTCCGGTCAGCTGAATCTCACTTGTTTTTTAACATATCAATAGTTGTGTTTTTTTCAGGAACACATAACATTTTTAGCACATGCCTGAGGAGCACATACACCAGACACGTACTGTCCACAAACACACACAGGAAAACACATTTGACATTCAGCTGCTGAGAGTGCCTCCTCCTTTTCTTTGGGGGATATAGAGTGTGCAGAACATATTGTTCTTCTTTAAGAACATATCTTGATGTCAAATGCTCTGTCAAGCTCACAACACCTCAGGTCACATTCCCCTAAAGTGTCACATTTGTTTTTCTCTCCCACATCACCTCTGTGACCATCATCACTGTATCTCCTACTTTATATCTGTTCCACACATTATGAACCCTTTCCATCCATTGTGCTTTGTTCAAATGCAGTTCTTACTGCTCATAAATTTCACAGTTATTTAAATTTTACAGTGATGTGAACTCTTGACCAGTGGTTTGTCATTTCATGCAAAAGCTGGCAGACACATTAAAGAGAGTCATGAAACCACCCAGCCTCTTGGAAACACTTGAACACCTCAGTGCAGACAGGATACTCACACAAGTGGACCTATACGCACATACAGAGAGAGAAGAAAAGTAGAAAGACAATTTTCAAGATAAAGTGGTTGTATTTTGATTGATTGATTGATTGATTTATTCTTTCAAACATGCAGAACAAAACAGAACAATGAACAAATGACAATAACACACATGATTACACATATCCAACCAATACTAATTCAAAATCAGTTTGCTTACACCTAATACATGTTTGAATGGAGTAGGAAGAAGTCAAACTTATCCAGTCCTACCCCATGACATCATATTATACAAAATTTATGCAACATTGGCTGCAAGCAATATCACTACATAGATAAAACAGATTGTTCTTATTCTTGCATATATCTTGTATAGCACATACATTTATATTTATATTTAAACTCCTTAATTCTGGTACTATTTTTCATGTCCACAGTTAAGTTATTCCATAGTTTGACCCCACTTATAGAAATACAAAATCTTTTTTTGGTTGTTCGTATAGCATGAACTTTTAAATTTAAATGTCCCCTTAAGTTATATCCCCCTTCCCTTTCACCAAATAACTGTTGGATTCCACCAGGTAATAAATTGTTCCTGGCCTTATACATAAACACAGCAGTCTTATACTCCACTAAATCAAAGAATTTTAGCAATTTAGACCGTATGAAAACTACATTTGTGTGATCCCTATACCCCATCTTGTGCACAACTCTTATCGCTCTCTTCTGTAATATGTACAATGGTTGAAGTGAACTCCTGTAAGTGTTTCCCCAGTTTTCAACGCCATACTCCAAATATGGAAAAATCAATGAACAATACAAAATCCGCAATGCTTTGACGTCCAGCATATGTCTAACCCTTGCCAATATCGATATATTTTTAGCCATTTTATTGCGAACATGTCTAATATGTGATTTCCAGGATAATCTGTCATCAACCATTACCCCCAGAAATTTAATTTCATATACTCGTTCAATGTTGGCACCCCCAATTCTCAATTGAAGTTCATTATGTGGTCTACGGTTCCCAAATACCATATATTTAGTTTTCTCCAAATTCAAAGATAGTAAATTACTATCACACCATTTCTTTATCTTCACAAATTCCCCTGAAACCCTTACCGAGAGTTGCCGTAAGTTTTCATCAGATGCCCAAATGGTAGTATCATCAGCAAACAAAACCATTTTAACAGTTTCAGAAACCTTACATATATCATTGATGTATAATATAAACAGTTTAGGTCCCAAAACAGAGCCCTGAGGCACTCCACATACAATATCCAGCTCACTCGATTGGTATTCACCCAACCTCACAAATTGACGCCTCTGTGTCAAATAACTTCTGATCCATTTCCCAACCATTCCTCTGATCCCATATTTCTCCAACTTATCCATTAATAGTTCATGATTAACTGTATCAAAAGCTTTTTTTAGGTCAATAAATATCCCCATCGTATATTTTTTCTCATCCATAGCACTTGTAATGTCCTCCATCAGGTCAGTAATGGCCAAGGATGTTGATCTTTTCGACCTAAAACCATATTGACAATCAGAT